GAGAAAGATGCCAAGAACATATAATGTGCTTAGCATAAGGGATAACAGATTTGATAGCCCTCTGCATTGCCCTATCCCCATCGGTGACAACTGAAATAGGCAATTTATTCACCATGACTTCTAAAAAATTCTGTAGCAGCCACTCGAAAGATTGGGATGTCTCGTCAACAATTATGACAGTGGCAAACACAATTGTGTTATGGTGATGATTGACACCGACAATAGGCATAATTGGTCGATCATACAAATGATCTTTGTACGTTGTGTCGAACGCAATTACATCACCGAAGCATGTGTAATCTGATCTCGATGTAGAATCCGACCAAATAAGATTATACAATGCCCTGATTCGTTTACCGAGTATGTCATAAAAAACCCGGGATCATCATGTTTCTTATAATCAAAGTAAACAATAAGCGCATTCACATCCCCATCGACGATTTCCTTTGCTTTACCTCTTTGAAGTGCATTGTAGAGGTCTTTATGTGTAAATCCAACATTATGATAGCCCCCTGTCTGCTGCGTTAAATAGTTCATTACTTGTAACGTGCCAACACCGACCTCTTTCAATGTTGTTACCTCTTCGATATCAACCTTACTTACAGCTCTATTAGAACGCATAAATGGTGTCATAGCAGGTGTGCACAATGCATGATTATGTTTCTGATAAGACTTACTTATAACCCAATGATCGTTTGTATTTGTTGATGTAACTACGACTCTAGCCTTGCATCTTGTTCTTGTAACTGGCGAATGAGCACGTTGACGATCAACAGTATTACCTTTTGATACTCGAAACCCTTCTTTGGAACAACAAAATTCTTGTGTCTTCAGATTCCCTTCCACATTAAGCCGTGTTGTTCCCTTACGTGCACTAAACCCATGTTCCCATGCGAATCCCTTGTAAAAGTACCAAGCTTGATCACGTGAAGAGAAGAGCTGACCAACCAATCTGTCAGATTCATCAACATTATGTACTTAATGGCATTCCTCGGTTGGCTTAACATTGTCTGCATCAGTATGATCCATGGCAAAAATATTGTTGTGCAAGTTCAATGGTCCCATAATTGATGGAGATGTAAGTAAAGGTTCATTCAACATGTTTCAGTCGTGCTTTCAATAGGGTGTGGTATTGGTAGTGGTAGTTGAAGGGTGGGTACAACATTAAATTCGCGTGGCATATTTAGGTGTGTAAAATAACTACCTAAATAGGTATAAATATACCGGTTAATTAGAAAATAGGTCAACATAATGTATCGACACTTGTGTAATTTGTGTTGATACTTATTGTCCAGAATGAATGCCCAAACGAGGTGCACGCATAAAGTGTCGATACAATTATTAAAAGTATCGATCCCAATAAAATCAAAACCGATTATTATAATGTAATGTGTAAATTTACAATGTAACCGATAAAAATATATCGGTTTTATGAAAAAATAGGTCATCATAAAGTATTGACACTTATTAAATTTGTGTCGATACATTTTGTCCATAATGAATTTCAAACGGGTACACGCATAAAGTGTCGATACATATATTAAAAGTATCGATCCCAAAAACATCGAAACCGATAATTACAATGTGATAGGTAAATTTACAATGTACCCGATAGAAATTTACCGGTTTTATGAAAAAATAGGTCTAAATAATGTATCGACACTCTTTAAGTTTGTGTCGATACTTGTTTCCAGAATGAATGCCCAACGAGGTGCACGCATAAAGTGTCAATACATTTAAAATTGTATCGATCCAAAAAACATCGAAACCGATAATTATAATGTAATAGATAAATTTGCAATGTTACCGGTTTACTTATAAAATAGGTCAATATAAGCGCTACCTATTACATTATATAAGCGCTACCTAATATGTTATTGTACTTGATAATATTTTCGGTTAAATGCCTATTTTATTATATAATCGCTACCTATTACATTATATAAGCGTTACCTAATATGTTATTGTACTTGATAATATTTCCGGTTAAATGATATAACATAACCAGTCTAAATTTTAACCGGTCACTTGTTTAACACCGGTCACGCCGTTTTTTAGGCGCCGCACAGCAGAAGTTTCCCTCTCCCATTAAAACAATACTTTTAATATTTTAAATTATTTTTTATATTTTTAAATTAATTTATAATTTATTATTATATTCTTTATAAATTTATCATTTTATAAAATTTTAAAAATTCAATTCTTAACCTAAGATTATATATTTCTCTGGTTGATACTAAAAAATAATAAATATTATCCTAGTTAAAAGTATACTTCAAATTTTTATACATTTAAAATTTAATTTTCTTAGTACATGTACAGTTGCATTGCGTGTCTTTATTTGAACAAAATACGACATGCCCCACGCCTTGATTATGGTGGACAAAAGTCACATCCTTTTACTTACTTCTTTCATTAAAAATATAATAAATATTACACTTAAAAGAGGTTATTAAAAGCAAATTATTTAAACCACGGCCAAGCTTTTAGTTATCATTATCGACTAACATCTTTAAAATATAGGATAAATTATGTGTTTATAATCTAAATTATAAATTTTGATTGGTTTTAATACTTAATTTTTAATTTTTTTCAAACAATACTTAAAGTATAGTTTGTGTTTCATTTTAATACATCGTTCAAAATGTAACGTTAAATTTTAATTTTTTTAAAGTTTAGATACTAAAACAGTTCAAAACTGATGATTTATGTACTAAACGCTTTAAGTTTTTTTTTGGATAAGTAAATTATATTTCATCCAAAAAATTGCAGCTTAGCTGCTACAAAAGACCTGCCTTAAGCTAGATCAGTTCCCAATTTGTGTACAAGTATCTATTACCATCATCTATTCTATGTATACTAAGACTATACAATTTGGTTTTCACCGCCTGCTTAATTCTATTTACAATTACCTCACTTGAACTTGAGAGACCTCTGAAATGCCTATGGTTGCGTTCTTCCCAAATGTGATACAGAAAATCAGTCCAAGCAAGCTTTAGGATCTGTATTCGAAGAGTTTTGCCCTTCAAGTTCTCAATCAGCCAATTGAGACGCTGGTCCCAGCTATAAGCAGCACATTGAATCCCACACAGTCTTAGAACAACATTCTAAACTTCTTTATCATAGGAGCAGTCTGCAAATAGGTGATCACGCGACTCTATACCAAAACCACATATCATGCAAGCATCATCAATAACCAAGCCAAAACGAACGAGCCTATCTTTAGTTGGTAGCCTATCGAGGATGGCCATCCACGAAATTAAGGAAAATTTAGGAATATGAGAAGGGAACCAAATAATCTTGTGCCAACTCACCTTTTCCATGCTGATTCTAATACTGTCCCATATCAATTTGCCTTTAATTAGGCTCAAATTAGCACCAGAGGAAAACAGTCTACTAGTATCATCTCGAAGCCTCAGTAATTTGCTTAAAACAATAAGCTTTTACCCAGGCGATCCACAATGAACCTTCATTTGCCAAGATATTCCTTATTAGCATCAGGCAACAAGATTTACTCCATAGAGTCAGGTCCCTAAGTCCCAATCCACCCTCAGACTTCAAGGAGCAAATCTGACTCCAACCTACACAGGCTCCTCTAGCCGAGGTGTCACAACCTTTCCAGATAAAATGCATTAGTCTCTCTACATCCTTAATGACCCCTTTAAGAATGATAAGCTGCTTACACCAAAAATTAAAGATGCTGAAGAGGACAAATTTAACAAGCTGCAATCTTCCTCTAAAACTTAGTTTTTTGCTGGACCATTAGCTTAATTTATCCTTAATTCTTTCCAACAGAGCAGTGTAGTCCTTGTCAATGAGTTTGCGAGTGACTAGGGGAACCCCTAGATACATGACAAGGAGCTGTGCCACTCTAAACCCAGTGACTAACCGAATCTGATCAAGAGAGGTTTGATACAAGCCACAAGCAAAGAGTTCAATTTTTAAAACATTCAACTTTAGCCCTGAAAGTTCATAAAACTTTTCTAAGATACTTTGGACTCCTAGCACAGACTCAAGGGAATCATGACAGAATACTAAGAGGTCATCCGTAAAGCAAAGGTGGGTGAGTTGAATTCTTTTGCATTTGGGGTGAAATCTGAAAATTCCCTTCATATCAGCAATATTCAAGAGAGATGACAAAATATTCATCACAATGACAAATAGGTAGGGTGATAAGGGATCACCTTGCCTAATCCCCCTTGCACCCTTAAAATATCCCACCAAGTTGTCATTCAAAGAAACATAATACATAGGTGTAGTAATACAGACTTTGGTCCAATTGCAAAATTTATTAGGAAGTCCCATTGCTCCAAGAACGGTCAGTAAAAAATCCCAGTTAATGGAATCAAATGCCTTCTGAGGTCTATTTTGATAGCACATCTAGGAGAAAGACTCTTCCTAGAATATCCTTTAACCACTTCCTGTGCTAGTAATGCGTTATCCACTATATTCCTACCCTTAACAAAAGTTGTCTGATTCTGGGAAATCATTCAAGGGAAGTAGGGGACAAGTCTATTAACAAGAATTCTAGTTATTGTTTTATAGACCATTGAACAACAATATATGGGTCTAAAATCTTTTTCCAAGCAAGCATTTAAAGACTTAGGAATCAACACTAAAGCTGTAGCATTGAAAGAAGGAAACAAGCAAGAAGTTTGAAAAAAGTACCTCACAGCAGAAATAAAGTCACTGCCAACGATGTCCCAAGAAACTTTAAAGAAACCAGATGTAAAACCATCAGGACTTGGACTTTTGTCATTTCCCTGTCTAAATAAGACCTCCTTAATCTCCAAATCACTTACCTCCTTGGTAAGAAAAGAATCAACTCCATCAGGCAGAGAATACCTTAATAATTCTTTCAAACTCTCAGCAGGGTATCCCTTAACCAAAGGATCAGTGGAGCCAATAAGGTTAATGAAACAATTCACTAACTCAACAGTCATTCCTTTAAAAGAATCATATCTCTGCCCATCCTCACCCATGACAATTCTGATAGTATTTCATTTCTTATTAGCTTGAGTCCTATGATGAAAGAACCTGGTATTCAAATCAACCTCCCTTAGCCAGTGAGTCTTTGCCTTTTGTTTGTAAAAACCAGATTCTGCAATCTCCAAATCCACTAATTCAGCTTGAATCCTCCTCTCATCAACAATCCTCATCTGATCAGGGTGAGCCAAATTAAAATTTTGAATCTGTCCTAATTCAGCCCTTTTGCTACTTACCCTGCCAGAGATATTAGAGAAGAGCTCTTTGTTGAAATTCTTTAGAAGATGTTTAAGCCTCCTCAACTTTAGGAACAAGCAACTCATGGCATTATCACCACATTGACCCTGCCAAGAGTCTTTAACAGTAGCTAAGAAATGCTCATGGCCAGTCCAGTAATTAAAGAATTTGAAAGGTCGAGGTCCCTTGGTCAAACCTCCCTTGTGTGACCACAATAAACCAAGATAGTGGTCTGAAACTCTATGTGTAATAAATTCAGTGAAAGATTCAGGATGATCTAACAACCACTGATCATTGACTAAGATCATGTCTAATTTGCGTGCTAAAAACGATTCTTCCTGCTTATTGGACCATGTGAATAATGGCCCAAGGAACGGGTGATCCATAAGATCAAGGTTCTCCAAGCAATCTTGAAAGTCCTTCATGTCTGGGGCACAATGAATACCCATCACATCAAAGTCGGAACTCTCCTCTTCTTTGGCTATGATGTTGAAATCCCCCCCAATAACCCAAGAGGAGGATCCAATATCATTTCCAACAGAGCTTAAATGTTCCCAAAGACCCCATCTAATAACTCCATTATTGTTACCATAGATAGCCGTTATAACTGTCCTATGCCCATCAATTATCCCCCAAATGGTAATGGTTTGATCATGTTTCCGCATCACAAAAAAAATCAAATGCTTCCTCCAAAAAATCCACAACCGACCTCCATCAATTAAGTCATAGTTTTCAGTAAAATTCCAGTCATCAGACATAACAAAGGAGAAATTATCAGCATTATCCCTTCTAATATGAGACTCCATCAAGCAAATAACATCCACATTACATTTGTCTAACCTTCTAAACACTTTTAGATGTTTGAGGGAATTGTTAATCCCCCTACATTCCAAAACCCTATTATTATTAAGAAGTAATGGATTGCACAGTACCACCAGTACCCAAATTCACCATAGTGCTCTTGGCTTTCTCCAAATGATCTTTATTTTTTGTCTTTATCTCATTTAGCAGCATAGCCACCCCCAAGGAAGCAACTCTAGCTTTTCTAGGACCATCTTCCACACCTTCAGTTTTGCTTGAAGAGCCAACATTTTCCTTCTTCCTCCCTTTTGTCTTCCTCTTCAAAGAGTCTTGAAGTGAAGGAAAATCCCCATGGTGAGGATCCTGTGATGTATTATTACCATAATCATTCCCAGTCATACAAGGTTCAGATTCATTTTGGGGAACAATAACAACAGTAAAATTCTATGGGAGCTTAGCAGTATTCTCAAAGGAAATCTCCACATTTGCCCCACTGTCCTCCTGCAAATCTTTTATTGATGCCTCCATAGCAGTACCAACTTGCAGATCCACATTTTGCACCATTTCTGTTATCTTATAAACATTTCCAGAATGAGACTCAGAGCTATAAGTCACCTCCTTAGAAATATTAACATTCTCATGTAATACCTCAGAAGTAGGTGCAATTGCTGGAATAACTTCTTTGCTACCAGTTACCAAAGAAGTCATATCTTTTTCCCTCCAAACTTGGGCCTCTTTAAGCTTTTGTAAAGGCAACCTAGCCACCAATGATGGTGTAACTATTGCAAAGAACATTGAATTCAAAGGCAAAGTCAAGAACGTTGGTGCGAGTCTTGTGAATCAAGTTGCAAATGCCACCAATGATACATCGGGAAAGAGAAAAAAAAAGAAAAATGACCTCATTGAGGGTTGGTGGAAGAACTTGAAACAAAGGATGTCGTACTGGTGTTGCAGGTTCCACAGTCAAAGGAACTAAGAATTTAAGAAAAGAAAATGGTTTTAATAAATATACTGATAAAGTAAGTTCGATAATTGTATAAAAAAGTAAAAGATATTGTATCATTGTAGTATTAATTTAGTGTGGTTTAAGGTATTGTAATATCCTCAATATTGGGTTAGTAATTAGGGTTGTAAAAACGGGTAATCGTTCAGGTTTCAGTCGGATCCTTGCAAGTCGGGTAAAATCGGATACAGGTCAAGTCAGGTAAATTTGACACCAGATCCAGATCGGGTTCAGGTCAGGTCAAATCAGTTCGGGTTATTTTCAGGTTGATTTGACACCAGATCCATATCGGGTTCAGGTCATTTTCAGTTCGGATCGTTTCCAGTTCAGGTCAAAACAATTCAGGTCCGAAGCAGTTAAAAAGCAGGTTAATCCAGGTTCGGATGGACTTCAGGCGGATCTCGTTCAGATCAGGTCATTGGCAGATAAAATTCAGGTCGAATCTCTATCAGATACAGATTGAGTTCAAATTGGGTTAATTTTTTTTATTAATTATTTTCGTCTTTCGCGAACGTTTAATTGCAATTTGTAATTGTATATGGTTTAGAGTAAATTACTAAGAATATAAATAATCATGGTTCAATTTTATGAAAAATACAAATTTAAGAATTAAATTGAACAAATATGAAATTACAAATAAAAATTTAAATAAATTAAACAACACACATTGATGAGGGATCAAATCGAAATAATTTTAAATTGTGAGGTTGAAATTAATACAAAAAAATACTAAATTATACCCATGTAAAAAGTTATGGGCCAATTAAAAAAATAGAATTAAGTAATAAGTATGGATCAATTTCATATGCAAATAAAATTTGGAGGACTAAATTGAACAAATATGAAATTACAACAAAAATTTAAATAAATTAAACAACACACATTGATGAGGGATCAAATCGAAATAATTTTAAATTGTGCTGTTGAAATTAATACAAAAAAGTACTAAATTATACCCATTTAAAAAGTTATGGGCCAATTTAAAAATAGAAATAAGTAATAAGTATGGGTCAATTTCATATGCATATAAAATTTGGAGGACTAAATTGAACAAATATGAAATTACAAATAAAAATTTAAATATATTAAACAACACAAAAGGGATCAAATAGAAATAATTTTAAATTTTGAGGTTGAAATTAATACAAAAAGTACTAAATTATACCCATTTAAAAAGTTATGACCCAATTTAAAAATAGAAATAAGTAATAAATATGAGTCAATTTCAGGTGCAAATAAAATTTGGAGGACTAAATTGAACAAATATGAAATTACAAATAAAAATTTAAATATATTAAACAACACAAAAGGGATCAAATCGAAATAATTTTAAATTTTGAGGTTGAAATTAATACAAAAATGTACTAAATTATACTCATTTAAAAAGTTATAGGCCAATTAATAAATAGAAATAAGTAATAAGTTGAGAAAAAATATTAAAACAACTAATATAGATATATATATATATATATATATATATATATATATATATAAACTATATAGTTTATATATAAAGTATATGTATTATATATAAAAACTATATAGTTTATATATATATTATGTATAAAGTATAAACTATATATACCATGTATAAACTATAATATTATATAGTTTATACAATAACTATTTAACTATAAGAAACTACATAGTTTATATATAAATTATATATGAATTATATATAAACTATACAATTTATATTTATATATTATGTATACTTATAAATAATGTATATTGTATAAATTATATAGTTTATTAATATAAATTATATAGTTTATATATAGTATATATGGTTTAGGGTTTAGGGTTTATATTTATATTTATATACTATATTTTATACTATTTATATAAACTATAGTTTATATTTATATACTATATATATGAACTATAGTTTACATATGAACTATATATATAAATATATATATACTAAGGTTGATATTTATATATGAACTATAGTTTACATATAAACTATAGTTAATATTTACATATAAACTATAGTTTACATATGAACTATATATATAAACTATATAGTTTACATATGACCTATATATATATACTATAGTTGATATTTATATACTATATGGTTTACATATGACCTATATATATACTATAGTTTATATTTATATACTATATATTATATATATAAACTATATATACTATATAGTATAATTTACATATGAACTATATATAAAAATCCTAAACCCTAAACTATACATTACATAGTTTATTAGTATATATAAACTATATAACACATATAGACTATATGGTATATATAAACTATACATTATATATAGTTCATTAGTATATATAAACTATATATTATATAGTTTATTAGTATATATAACCTATATAGTATATGGTATATACAAACTATATATTATATAGTTCATTAGTATATATAAACTATATAGTATATATAAACTATATATTAATTTATTAATATAAACATATATATTAATTGAAAGAATTAGAAAATATATAAGATCAAATTGAACAAATTTTAAATATGAAACTTAAATTAATAAATTGTAACATTAAATTTAGATTAAATTAAAAAAAGTTGAAATATGAAGATAAATTAATATATTACATCATTAAATTTAGACTAAATTGAATAAATTTAAAACTAAGAGACAACGCTACAATATTAAATAAAGTTAAAAAATACACGAATTTTCTCCCTCGCTTGAGTCTCATAAAAAATCTCCCTCCCTTTTCTCCAACGCGGGTTTTCTCATCGTTTTCATCCAAATTATATCTATTCGCGCTCTTAATTCATAATTGTTATTCGATCTTTGTTTATTTCTTACTGTATCTACAGAAAAGAATTGATAGGCATTTTGGGGATAGGGAACTGTAAAACTTGCGTTTATTCGGATGGCGTGTATAGAAGGGGTGAATAGATCGGCGTCCGTGGCACTGGCGCCGGATGCGCCGTACATGGCGGCTGGGACGATGGCTGGGGCCGTGGATCTATCCTTCAGTCCATCAGCGAATCTCGAGATCTTCAAGTTTGATTTCCAGAGTGACGATCGCGAGCTTCCCCTTGTAGGCGAGTGCCCTAGCTCAGAGCGGTTGTGGTTCTAGAATCGTCCTCAGTAAAAATACTCTAAGAAAACCCTAATTTAACAAGCCATGGTAAGCATCTCTTTACATCTATTACGATTCTTCCTTGTTAAGCTAAATTTTGTTTTATAGCTGAGAAAAAAAGGATCATGTTAAAAAATTTATAATATAAAAAATATAAAGAAATTTATGGATTGGAATTAACATAAAAATCAAATTTATAATATTTAAATTATAAATAATATAAAACTAAATTTCAAAAAAGTAATCATATTATTTTGATTATCATAATAATTTATAATAAAATTTTAAAAAGTAATCATATTAATTTAATTATCATAATAATTTAATTATCATAAGTTTATTATAAATTTAAAATAATATAATTATATTAATTGTAACTTCACTTATAAGTCAGGATAATATTATATTACTTAACAACATGTCGGATCATTCACAGGTTGAGTCAATTACAGGTTAGGTTCATAACAGGTCAAGTTAAAAACAGGTCGGGTAATACCAGTTATTTACCAGGTCAATCTCGGGTTCAGGTTCATATCAGTCGGACGCAGTTCAGGTTCGAGTATCATATTTTCGGTTCAATTCGGTTTCAGGTAGGATGCAGGTCGGGTTCAGATCTACAATTTCCAGGTCCAACTCGGGTTCAGGTCAATACCAGTTCCGACTCAAGTCAGTTTCGGATCGTCACAGCGCAAGTAAAAAACAGTTTTAACTCGAGTCGGTTTCAGTCAGTTTTACAGGTCGGGTCAGCTTTTTACACCCTTATTAGTAATTAAAGTGTAAGATTTTAAAATTCAATGACCAGATTAAATAAATTGAAAAGTGAATGAATTAATTGAAAGATGTGGGTGAAGGATGAATTAATAAATGAAAGAAGAGTCAAAGGGTAAATGGGTCATTAAACAAGGAAAATGATTA